TGTGGGCTCAACTCCACCTAGACCCACCGTGCCGAGCGGGATCCTGAGATGCATCCGCCATCGAGATCGCGCTGGATACAGACCCGGGTTCTCTTCAATATTATACACGTTTTGATAAGAACGCTAAGGGCGCAATTAATTGCGAGTCTAGTTGTAGGGCTCTACGTTCCTTTCTCAATACCCCATCATGACCAGGTGCATCTCGTCTTAATGTTGGGCTGACCTGCTGCGCCAAGGGTTGGGTGGTAGACCTTCTTGGTGTCCGCAGTAACGGGATCCACCACCTGGCACTGGTCGCCCTCGTCGTAGTAGCTCCCCTTCAACTCCGTCTCACAGATTCTCTGCCTCCAGTTGCGCAGGCTGTCATTGTACGCGGCAGGTGGTGCTGGTGAACAGCTGGCGTGGAAGACGGTGATATATTCGGCCAAGACTGTGCTAGACAGGGCGAACAAGATGGTTGCTGTCTTGAGATGCACTGTGGAATGTTAGGAATGCAAGTCCGGTTCTTGAGTATTGGGAGAATGTTTGACTAACTGATGAAGTAGTGATTGTTATGAGGAGCGATTGATTTGATGTTTGCTTCAATCGCCTTGAACGAGATGTGACCATAACATCTGACATGCATTGAAAGACCGGATTGGTGTGGGCTTAAGTATACCGGACCCAGCACGAAATCGCGGCATTGAATACTATTACTGTTCGAAGTTCAATTAAATTGAAGGAAACTCTAAGAAACAGCTAGGAGTTGAAAGTCGAATGTCGCATTCGCTTTTCCCCCTTTTGAAGTGCTAAGCTTTGTACTAAGTGAGGTGGGCTGCAAGAGCAAGCCTCGCCCGCTCGTTCCGATCACACAGACCACAACGACATCACTGAAGTATTGAAAATATCGTTTCGTCGTTGGAAAAGTTCTTCAAATCTAAAAAGAGAATCATTTGCGTTCTGGGCTTTTGCGCTTATTATTTGATTAATTGATTGTGTGTTACCAAGTCGAAGCTGGTCACGTCTGATGTCTCGTTCCCAGGATTCTGATGCTGTCCCAGCCCGACGGAAGTTATGACTCCGTCTCCTTCGGCTATACGCCAGATTCAGGACCAATAAACCTTATTTAATGTCAAGCTGCTTAAGCAATACTTACTGGATTTAACGCCGAACTGTAAACTCCCAGAGAAGCAGTGGGTGACCCACTATGCTTGAACAAGGGCTTATATTATCAGTAATCCAGCTTGTTCACTAATAGCTGCCATCCTACATCGACACTGTTATGGATCGTTTAGCTAGTCCGCAAGGAATTCCGTCTTCTGAACCTGCCCGTCGTGGTTTAAAGAGCCTTTGAATATTTCTTCCTGAGACTGCACACGTTACCGAAGCACACTTAGGGAGACGGATCTTTCACAAACGGGTCCTTGCAATACATGAGTCTCATCCGATGTGTTTGAGGTCGAAATCCCGCTACTTTTCTGTCTATTCGTGCTCCAGGAACGATATTCTCTCCAGTCATGACGGGGCATTTCCTGATATTGCTCTCACTCACCCATGTTGGCACAGTTTCCAAGACCTTCGCTCTATCAAGTCCAAAAAAACAACGGAGCAGAATGCCTCCCACTCCCACTCTGATTGATGACTCTGTGGATAATTGATACGAAGAAGTCCTTTGTCTGTCTCATGAATCAGTCGGCAATGTTGACAATGAGTGCACCGGGGATGGGGTCCGCCTTGACCCAGTGGCCGGACTTGCTGAGTACTTCGAGACTGTCAGAAGAGTCTTGAGTCACAATGGTGAGGCATTCAACGTCAGTGTGTGTGCTGATATCGTTCTGCTCGTCTACCGAGTGGTTTTGCTCAAGGGAGTGGAGAATGCGCATTCTCGCTTCTGGCCGCTTGACATACCCATCGAAGTATTCTCTAGGCAGGTGGAGCGCGAATGCGAAGTGATCCGGCGCAAGAGCCTCAAGAGCTTTGTGTGATAGGCGTATAGATTGTCCCGGAGACCAGGTAGGTCGGCAGGCAGATGCTGACGGACTTCAACTGCTCCCTAGTCTTTCTGCGTGTCTTAGGCCTAGTTGAAGGCTTCGCTCAGATCTGAGAAAGGGTCAACAGAGAAGAAAAAGCCCTGATCTTCTAGAATTTAGATCTTGACCTATCCTGAATTTTCCCCATCTTCAGGTCTTGTTTGCAACAATGATGTCTTCTTTGTCACGGAGCCGCCGTCTAATTCGGTGCGTAGAAGTACCTTAAATCAAGATACAGATACTGACTTGGACATCTATGTCAAGAAAGATACCCGTCCATTGCCTTCATGCCGTCGAGCCTACAGTCCTTGGGAGTTTGTGGGGTTATTGACGGTCCCCGGATCTTTCAATATAGGCGCTTAGGTAGACGACGGGTTCTTCCCGATTTCCTTGGGACTGAACGTCTGGGTAAGCGATTTAGCCCATTCCGCGTAGAACTAGAGGCAACGATCCGTAAGCTGATGTGGCTAAAGCAATCGATGATTGCAATCGTCGTCGCTCACACCTTTGTTGGGTTTGTGTGCACAGCTGGAGGCCACCCTGGCGCAAAGTGGCATATCGGGTTTCCGCTTTGGATGAAGCAGAATTGGGGTGTACGGGGTTATCTGTTTCCCATGGTAAGTCTAGACCTTAAATCTTACCTTAACTTTCCCAGTGCAAACAAGATTTGAGGCTGTGTGGACTAATCTCGCGACCAGGCCATCCGAGTCTTTTGAATGGACAGCCACCAACACGTGGTATGGGAGCTAATGATTGAAGGTCCTATTGACCTGCGTCTGGCCATCGCACCTCAATTTGGATTCTGAGCTTGCGGACGGGACGAGGAAAGTCTATGACCTCATCTCCTTCATCCTGTACTTCCTGCTCTGTTTGCCATTAGTGTGGTTCAGCACAGAAAACCATCGCAAGCCGTGACTCTCCGCCTCGACCACGGTGGTGACAGCCGTTTTATGCTATCGATCTGGGGCACAGCTCGTGCGGGCGGTGGAGGCGCCATTCTTGCAGATGTGAGCAAGGTCTCTGGAATCAAGCCTGCGCAAGGGGGAGACTTAGGCTGGGCTGTCGTAGCCGTGGTTACGGCTAAACTGGAGGTATCGCTAAGCATATGTGGTCTCAGTCCGACTACACCAGCTTTGCACGGGAACCAGGGGACCAAGTCCTCGCTCAGCTGATCATGGAACCCTTGGGAACCATCATTGTGGCCTGTATCGGTATTATCTGCACATCGTGCGCGGCAACGCTCTACCCCAACGAAGGGATGCTGCTATAGCAGCCCTACGCCTTCCTAGATGCTGTGCGCAAGAACGAGGCTAATTTCGGCGACCGGGCTGAGGCCGTTTTCGCCAGGATCGCTTTCATGCTATCGTAGTTTGGCATGGTCGTTGCCTTCAACTGCGGAGTCGCGGGTATCGATCTAGCCGCGCTGCTACCGCGATAGTTTACGATCCGTCGGGGGATTTCTGACCGTCGTCTTCGTCTTCGTCATGCAGCCCTTGTCACTGCTTAACAGTGCCGGCAACTTTCTAACCGTGGTCGGCAGCTTCAATGTCTTCCTCGGTCCGCTCAAGGGAATCATGTTTGCCGATGACTTCCTCATCCGCAAGCGGACCATGGAGCTTACCGGCCTGTAAAGTGACTCATCCGCCAGCGATTACTGGTAGAACAGAGGTTAAAATCTGCGGGCGGCCGTTTCTTGGGTGCTTGGAGCCTAGATATTCATTTACGGGTTAGCGGAAAGAGCCAAGGCACCTAGCGAAGTTTGGTTGGGTGTGGGAGACTATACCAGTTGTTCTGTTTTGTGGGATGTCTCGTATCTGGCTCGACGTATCTCGCATTCCATCGTATCGTGCCCATTCCTGAGAAACAGGCAGCGGATGACCTCGGTGATTTTGGCACCTTTGGAGACGCGCCAGTACTGCGCGGCGTGGCTGAGCTGGACGTAAGCTCGATATCAGAGGCTGGGGGAGAAAAGTCGCGCGCGGGGCAAAAGGTCCAGATCGTCTGACGCCAGTGCAAGTTCGTATTTATTGCCTGTTCCGTCGACTTTTCAAATAGACTAGAGCCCCAATATCTCTACAAACTTCAAGCCACCGTCCCAAGATGGAAAGCTGACAAGTAAATGTCTCAAACCATGAGTTCTTCGCCCCTTCAATCATATCATTTATGATGTCTTTTTTGTGATATGAGCCGTGGCACCCCTCCACATTCCATCTGATCGTCGTGCATGGCTGCAGCGTACCTGAAATTTCTGCATTTGCTCCGTGCTAATCCGTTTGCAATTGCATTAGAGGCTCGACAAAACCTAGACTATTTACGACATCAGCCCAAAACAATCGAGTGAGAAGCCTATTGGATCAAGGTAGAGGAGCACACAAGGGACGACTAGAACGGGTAGGGCGAGTGACTTTGGATGAATGGTCGCATTTCGCACAATGCCACCTTGCATTTTGGGCTTAGAGGAGCACGCGCCAATTCCTCTTTCTTCCCAGCTGTCAGTAATTAGCTCAAGCTTTGGGCGAGCTTATCCCACGTTTCATGGAGACTATCCATTTGGATTTCATTGGGGACACCCTTTGTCATGATGTGGATAACTGATCTTCAGAAGGCGAGATGGTACCCACGCCCATCAGACTTTCCGACGTCAATACCCGGCCCGTGGCCTCTAGGCGTGGTGCCGATCGAAAAGCTTGAGCCAGGTGCCGGTTCAAAGTCTATTCTTTCTATCTGGACTTTTGTCTCTACGTTCTTTTGAGCTCAAGCGGACCCCCCATCCCCGCATCCAGGAGAGAGGATGGTTCCGATCCTTGCGTAACCCGACCTTCTTTCATTAGGGTGCCGTCCCTACGGATCGCATGCCATCGAATACGGCCGAGTTTGGCTCCCTAGATCTTCTTACCTTGTTTTCCTTCTGATTGTCCTTTCTTGCCCCTGCCGCAATTTCCCTGATGCAGCAGTGGCAATCATCAGGTACGATCAACCTCATGTCGCGGCATGGTAGACGTCGACATTGACCCGCACCGACCTCGTCGCGTTATCGCGGTCGCCATCTTTTGCCTCTGCCTCACGTGGGTTGCAGTGCCGCTGCGCATCTACTCGAGGCTCTTCCTGACACGGGTCTTCACTCTCGATGACAAGCTCATATGCTTGGTCCAGATTACATTCACCGCGTATCTTCTTACGGATATCGCAGCAGTCTTCCATGGGTCTGGACATGATGCTGTAGAGTTTTCGCCAGAGGACAGAAGGATAGCTCTTCAGGTATGTGTAGACGACTTCTTAACGGTGAACCAACAAGCTTGAAGTCTTTCCACTTTATGCGCACTAGAGAGCTGATACTCTATCTGCAGCTTTTCTTCGCCGGCGAACTCCTTTATCTGATAACTACTCTGCTCCTGAAAGTCTGCGTTGGCCTACTGTTGCTCAGCATTGCCATTGTACCTTTACACATTTGGACACTTCGAATACTCCTCTGTTCGACATTCGTGTTCGGGTCCCTGTACTTCGTCCTTGTCATCTTCCAGTGCAGACCGCTTCACGTATTCTGGGACGTGGGCCCTCGGACACCAGGCAGCTGCTTCTCAGATAGCGTGGTGCTTGGCTGCACATACACCCTCGCGATTCTGAACTGTCTCGCGGACTGGACCTTTGGCATTCTGCCGTTGTTGATTGTCTGGTCCCTGCAGATGCGCCTAAAGACGAAGCTACTAGTCATTCTCCTGCTAGGCTTCGCATCCATGTATGTCGCCCTGCCTGTTCGTGTACCACCATACGCAAAAGCTTCTGGACTCACCAATCACCTCCCGTCTTCTTTAGAGCGAGCATTGCGACCATAGTGCGCGCAGTAGCTGTTCCAGCATTGCTCAACCAGGAAAACTTTCTGCGTATGTCTCAAGAAAGCTACCCTATAGCCAGGCTTAGTCATTTACTTACTTTTCCAAGGCGACACAGCATATCTCGCCATCTGGAGCAACATCGAGCCCGGTATTGGCATAGCTGCAGCCTGTGCACCGGCTCTGTCCCCGCTGGTTCGACACCTTCTCGGGAAAAGGCAACGGCGGGGATACGAAAGGGGCATCTGGCGAACACGGGACCTTCCAACAATCACAAACGACTCAATGGCGCTATCGGACAGAACAGAGAGGAGGCAACACGAGTTCCGAAGCGGGGGCACATCTAAAAACGACGTACTACGTCTGCGGTTCGACGACTTTTCATACGAATCCCGGATCTCCTCCGGCCCACAGGCAAATCAGGTGCGGCCGGTGCCGCCGCCAAGGAGTCGGTCGTCGTGGGCCTTTCCGTTACGGCGCGGGTCAGGGGCCAGCGGCGGCGGCTTCGATTGTCTTACTGCTGATCCCACGCTCACCACATCGACTATATCGTCAGACGGGGCAGCGGCCGAGCCGCCGTCCTCGGGGATCATGAAGACGATGGAGTTTCAGCTATCGTATGAGGCGAGAACGTGGACGACGTCGAGGCGGGGGAGGATGATTCCGCGGGACGAGAGCATGACGCTGCGGCCTTCGACGATTGCGGAGATGAGGAGGGTGACAAGCGGAGAGGTGCCGCTTCTTCATGACGGGATGTCTCCGACTTCAAGAGATTATGACGTTGAAGCTGGGTTTACACGGAGATCGTATAATAATCGGCACTCATCACCACCTGGGTCACCGTGGGAGTGGGTGGGGAATCGACAGGCCAGGCCTCTTTCTATGAATGGGGGCAAGTTCGGAGCTGAGCCCACTCATACGACAACGGCGGAAAAGCGGCTATCGACAAAATCATAGTAAGAGAAGCACGGACTTCAGTTCAGCGAATACATAATTTTCAGTACATACTTATCTTCGTATTGACACCTTGTCTGGAAACTTGTGTATGGTCGCCCATATGCTATCACACGTCCAAATAACATACGCAGTGTGGCTGAGGTCTACCAGTACCAGGAAGTAAGTTGAGTATGAACAGTACTAGAGGTAAACTCCATTTTTACTCAACACTCTAGGAGTTCATCACGTCTGAATTTCCAGGTTACCTTAGTTTTTCGTTAGTATTGACGTAAGCAAGATACCCGTTTGATCGGCCCAAAGCTTACTACTGCTCAATGGCATGATGATATGTGGAATGAACTAAGAAATCAATAAGAGACGTAAAGTATTCCAGTAAAGCTTTGAAGAATTGCACATTGTCGTCTCTATGGTTCCAAGGGCAGTGCAGTCATCAACTCCCGAACACACTTAGATCAAACAATCAGCTACATTACGATTCATACTGTTGTAAAAGAGTGTAAATTGAGTTGGTCTGCTTCTTATGTAAATCATGAACGCCTTCTCCCAGTCTATCCTGTTCTAATTCTCCCAGTCCACCAGATCCAGTCAGTCATCCTTAAAAGACGAAGCCATAAACCAAGATAGCAATGCCTACCAAAATCCGCCATTAGCCTAAGCTCTTATTCCGAAGGTCAGAACGCTAGTACTCAAAACAGCAGACCAGGTGTGGGAGCTTCGACTTACTCACTCAGGTCCACACTGCTTCGAAAGAGTACGCATGCTGCGCACCCACAGTGCTTGTATCCAACTTTTCCGATAGCAATATTGATACTGTCTCATACAGAGAAAGGCAAGTACTGAAACAAGTGTCTAGGACAGCGATCGACGAAAGTCATTCACCCATTCTTCAAGATCGGATCTGGTGAAGGGGGTAACGCGAATGTTACGTCCCACATGCTCTCTGAAGAACTCCTCGCCTTCTTCAGCGCTGAAAACAAATTGAGTCGCAGGTGCAGAATTCGGGTTCATGTCGTCGACCTTGAGAACGAAGTCGGAAGTGATCCCCGCGGGGGATTGCATGGTTTCATACAAGGCGTTCGGGCGGGAAGATATAGTGCCAATTACAATGGTCGCCAGCTTGTACTTGCGGAGATGTCTCGGATGGATCTGACCGCGCCGACAAGTCCAAATGAGCTCCTTCCATTCCGGGCTGGGCCAGAAGGTGCGTAGAAGCTCTGGAGAATCCATCTGCTCGATGGCGGAATTCGGAATCGCTATGGAGACAATGCAAACCGCCAGATTATGGCCACGCCGTTTTGCGAATGCGGCGTATCGCTCGGCCACCTTGTAGTCGGGCGTGAAGTAGTAGAGCTCGCCATGGCCACTGAAGTCTGTCGGCGCCCAGCTTCGGAGAGGGCTGATGCGGTCGATCTGGCCATTGACATTCAAGAGATTGGCAACTCGGTGTTGTTCAACTCCCTTGAATAATATCGTGAAACCAGGGGCATTCCGAGCTGCGATGGCAGACGCGGACCGGGAGCTTCCAGCTGCTACACCGCGGGTTCCATCCCTCTGAACACTGGAAGAGGATCGATTGAGACGGCCCCCCCGACTGGAGGCAGAACTTCCTCCACCAAGGGAGCCTTGTCCTGTCTGAGAAGACTCAGCGCGGGTGTGAGCGTTGCGAGTCTGAATGCCGAAGCTGGCGGGACCTGTGAGAGAGACCAGGTTGATTAAGCCAGAATCTCTCAATCTGGAGGCTCTTTGCATATCGCGGAGAGCTTCAAATCGCATTCTGATTGTATCTTTGGCCCAGTCGAGGCATGACATCGTGAGGCGAGTGTACTTGAACATCGGATCCATAATCGCGAGCTGTGTCTCGTGATTCAGACCGTAGCCACTCAAAAGAGTGAGCCAGTTCGGGTCATTGTCAGTCCACGTGTCCGGTAACCCAGAGAAACGACCGATGATGAAGTCAAAGAAAGTCACCTGAGGATTACCTCGCGGAGGGTCAATCTCACGGCTGGGACCTGTGGAGGGCCAATTTGTCCACTTCTCCCAGATGTTCGTGGCTCTCCGATCAGTGAAACCAACGTGGATCAAAGTAGCATACGAGATTAGAAACTCGGGGAATTCAGTAAAGGCATTCAAAGAAGTGAGGGGTGTATCGAGCGAGATGTGCTGATATTCATTGTCAGCCTGGGCATTGAGACGCCGGTTATGGATCAGCCGAGTGCCCCTCCCAGTACGAGGACCCAGGAGACCCTTGTTCTCGAGATCAGAGGCATCAGAGGGAGTCAAGATAGATAAAGCGCTCATTTCAGCGTGACAAGATTCTAAGTACTCGTTGAACAGAGAAACCTCTCACTGGAGTCTACAATCAAAGAACAGCAATACCAGAGAATCAGCTTTTCTCAATCCCCTACATGTTTGAAAGCGATTGATCGTGATGAAGAGTGTAGCATGTGTAGGTATTGTACGAGGTAAACCAATACCTATATATGTGGGTAGACCTCGCACTCTGTTCAGCTTCAAGGCTGCGAAGAAGGAGCTGCGAGATACAAACATAAAGTAGCTTGTTTGTAATCGTATGGGCATTGGTTTACACAATGCAGAGACAGCTTCAATGAGATTGTCGTCTTCAGGTATCCTAGGTAGATACATTTGAGACGGTAGGGTGTTTTTACAATCACACTGAAGACAAACAGCGCCGCCGGGTGCTAATAAACTGACAACATAACCAAAAAACTCATCACTGTGCATATATCCCCATTGTATTGGCAATGTAGCATAGCCAAAGCTTCGATGCGAGATTTCCGGCAGGTAATGTTGAGGCCAGAGCGACAAGGTACCACAAATATTATCGACCTTCCCCTTGAAAGATAACGTAGCGTTGCCAAACTACCTGATCTAAAAACATATTTATCCAAAACGATTTGCGGAAGGTAGAAAGAAGTATCAGATGGCCAGCGCTGATTACCTTCAATCGTGCTCAAATATCTCGAAGTACCTACTTACTTTGCCTCGAAACAACTGAGTGTAACTGACGCAAACCTCTCATTTGGGGCCAAAGAGCGCGCGTTTGATCAGGTACCTACATGTAGCTTCTCCAGCGAACAAGGTGTTTTAGTAAGGTATACTTCAAATCTATCTCCGAAACATTTGGAAAACGCAAAGGTCCATTTCCTCATTTCTGTACCACGTGATGCTTATGGTCAAGAATTGAGTCACCCGGATAGCTGATTGTTACACATGGCTATAAATTAGCTGCATTCTCCCTTCTCTGTAGCAAACAGAAGAGGAGAAACCGTCTTACTTTCATATTCGCTTTCCTTGCCTCTATCAACAACTCATTTGTCGCCAGTCTCGCAATTCGCCAACATTCAAAGAGACATCACCGACGTATACATACAAGAAACCAAACAGCACATAAACTCATCATGCCGAAAACAAATAATCGTTCGGAGAACAGCAAGTTGGACAATCCCCTGTTCTTCTACATGCCGGACGCCGAATGGGGGGAGTTTTGTCAATGGTACAAAGCCGATTTCACCGTCTCCAAGGCAGACATCTCCGACCTTATCGGCCACACCGTAGACGACATGGACCCTGATGGAAGTATCACCTTCAACTGTGCTGAGCAATTCATAATGTACTGCAAAGCCGCAAGATTCCACGACGCCTCCACTCAAACGGGGATTCTAGCGACCAGCAACCCAAAGGAACAAAAGATACTGGGCAGAAACGTCACTGGGTTCACGAACGAGAGCTGGGATCAGATCAAGAGTCCCGTTGCTGAGATGGGCAACAAGGCGAAATTCGGACAGAATACGCACCTGTGCCGGAAGCTATTATCCACAGGCGATCGTTTGCTCTGCGAGGCTGCGTCAAAGGATCGCGTTTGGGGCATTGGATATACCGCTAAACATGCCTTGTCTCACCGTCAACACTGGGGTGAGAATCGGCTGGGTAAAGCTCTCATGGCGACGAGAGAATACCTAAGGAGCCAGGAGGCCCGGAGCAAGAAGCCTTGGGAGCAATATGAGGCATAATGGGACAACCCTCAATGGCAGTCATCTGTAGCCAGCAGCACAGCGCATGAATAACGACCTTCGCATCCATCTGGATACTTCATAGATACCACCATCTCGCGAGGATGATATACCCTCAAGTGCTCCAGATAAGGTTCGGTTTCACAAGAGTAGATGGCTCCTCTCCGCAGAACAGCATAACTCCGAAGCAGATGAGGCGCCATCAGCGTAGGCCTTGCGCAGTGCTTCTACGATTCGACAGTCGTAAACACCCACAATTAGAACCACAGAGCTGGGCAACAGGCAAAGTCTCACTTCATCGCTGGCGAAGCTGGTACGCTTTCTCGGCTCTCTCACTGCATCAGACGAGGATCATCACGAGGGTTTGGGTATAAGAAGGGACACTAGAGGGAGAACACTTCATGCTGGCATCGTGCATGTGAGTTGTCAGCATGAGATCCAGTTCGCAGTGCGGGTGGGGAAGGTTCGGTAAGACTGTGAGAGTCTGACAGACCGATCAATCAGGGAATTCAGGAAAAAGGAGTCGCGAAGCTTCAGAGTTTGTTGTGGTTGTTCATTTCTATCTCTAAAGATGACAAAGGAGATGTTGTAGTCTATTACAGGCAGGTATCAACAATGGTACAGATGGGATGTCATCAATCCAGACACCAACCCCGATGCACCCATTCCTCGACTCCGTTACGATGCAACCCATGAATATTGACACAAAAAAAAAAGGTTTCCGAAACAATGATAATCACAACGTCCCATGGTATCTCTCTATGCCATTCCCCCAACAAGCGAAGCAGCTTAGAAGCAGAAAACGGCATCAGACATCTTGGAAGTGGCACCAGGCTTCTCGAAGCCCAGGTTCGTCAACGACTTCTTGGCCGCGTTGACCATACCAGGCGGGCCGCAGAGCATGACGCGGGAATCCGGACCGGGAGAGGGGAACCGCTCGGCCATCATCTCCTGCGTGACGTATCCGGTGCCGTAGGCCCAGTTCTCGGGCGGCGAGTCGAGGAGGTAGTGCAGCTTGAAGTTCTTGGGGTACTTTCTCGCAAAGGCCTCGAGCTCGTCCCGCAGCAGGATGTCGGCCTCGGAGCGGTTGGCGTAGATGAGGCTGACCTCGGTGGTGTCGCGGTCGTCCTCGCAGATGGCGCGGATGAGCTGGTACATGGGGGTGATGCCCGTGCCGCCGGCGAGCATGCCAATCTTCTTTGCCAAGTTGGGGCGGTAGCGCATGGCGCCCTTGGGCCCGCGGAACTGCACCTCGTCGCCGACCTCGAGGTTGGCGAGGTACTTACCGGTGAGGGCACCGTCGGGGTAGCAGCGTATGACGAGCTCGAGCTTGCCGAGGTCGGCGTTGTTGGAGGTGGGCGTGTAGGAGCGGGAGACGGACTTGCCGTCGATCTCGGCCTTGATGGCGACGTGCTGGCCGATGGGCAGGCCGAGGACCGTGGACGGGGCGGGGAGCTCGAAGACGAAGCGGTAGACGTTGGGGGCGAGGAGGGTCTTTTCGACGAGCGGGAGCGGGTGATAGGAGACGGGGTCGAGCCAGCCGCGCTGGTTGAGGGGGTTGGCCTTTGCGACCTTGGGGATCTTCTTGTGCGGGCGGTAGTGCATGGGCGTGAGCTCGTAGTGGAGGAGCTTGGAGGCTTCCTTTGCTGCGATGGAGCCCGCGACGGCGAAGAAGGCCGAGGCGACGGCGAAGCCCTCCATGAAGCCGAAGCCGGTGCGCTTGGAGCGGGCGGCGCCGCTGCCGAAGGAGAGCCATGCGGGGAACTGGATGTTGAGTCTCTGGATGGCGGCGATGGCGTCTTGGCCGGCGGGTGTGGAGGAGGCGTGGCGGGCGGCGACTGCGCCGAGACCGATGAAGAGAGCGGCGGCGGCAGCCTGGGATGCGACGCGAGCTGCTGAGCCGGAGCCGGAGGTCTTCTTCTCGGGGATGGCCTTGGGCTGGAGGCGGACAGCCTTGGGAGCGGAGCGCTTGTTCACACCCTTGAGCTTGCCGACCTTGAAGTCGGCCATGATTTCGTAGGCGTCTTCGGAGTGGCCTGCGTTGTCGAAGGCTTCTGAGGCATCGACGCCGGCGGCCTCGACGAGGACATCTGCGCCGCCGGGGTGGTCGTGAAGGTACTTTGAGACATCGTAGACTGTTGTTTGGCGGGTTAGTTTGGTGGTCTTTGGACGAGTTCGGGAAGTGCAGTTTGGTGGGTATTTGACTTACCTTCACCGTGGATAACCATCCAGCAGTCGTTTGCTTCTCTGTGCGCGGCAACCTCCTTGGCCGTGAACTCGGGGCCTACTGTTGACTCTGTAGCCGCCATTGTGAATGTGTGTATGTGGATTATCTCTGAGAGATGGTCGAAGATGGGAAAGGGGGCGGGGTGAGCAGTAGTAGTGTTACACTGTTGCAGAGTCGTGTCGCGCTGATGATATAAAAGAGAATTTCACTATCTTATCTAAGAAATGGGAAGGATCGATGTCGATCGTGATGTGTGGACAAGGTTACAATGAAAAAGACTCCTTTTACTTCAGAGGACCGGGCTTCGGAACGGGGGCAAGTGCAGCGTTCCTATTTATCGAAAGATGGCGAGGCCATGGCGACATTTGCCAGCGGAAAAGATGCCTAGGTATATCCACAATTTACAAGAGGAAATCCAGAATCGTCGTCACTCGTCAGAAGATACACATCACTTTGCATTGGATGAGAATGAGACCGAAAAAACCAAAAAGGAAACAAGGGTAATGTCCGAAGGGCAAAGATGCCGAGGCACAGAGATAAAGTGTGGGCATCATCGGGGGACCCTGCGCGCGTTCTTCTGCGCGATAAAGTCGATGGTGCCCAGGGTACGAAGTTATGGAGCTTTCTGTTCGGGAGCTCCAAAACGTTCCCAAAGCTTGGGACCATTAGAAGCTAGGATTGGGATCCATTTGGAATGAGCAGAAGAGATGAATCTGGAAAGATTCGGCCGGCGGTCGGTGGGTGGGGCGCGCGACTGACAAAGCGAAGACACGGGATTGGATACCGGGACCCGGACCCACTTACGGCGATGTATCTCGGCGGTCCCGACACGATGAGCGGGTTGATGACTTGATTGACGTTTATGCCTTGATTTCCAGAGAAATGCATGAGTCGGTTCCCTTCTTTACCATTATCTCTGCAGCTACTCAGCGCCTCCATATGATGCATTCTTACGTGCTATAGGGGCAGAATTCTTGAAGTGTTGGTTTGCGAGAACGAGGGAGGCAGAAAAAAAGTGCGATCGTCATCGCAAATCAGCC